TATATATATATATATATATATATATATATATATATATATATATGTTTTAAACTCAGATTTCAACTAAAAACTCATAATATAACTCGAACTCTTCTAACTCTTTCTTTATTAGCACTGAATCAGACGATATTCCTTCATATATTCCCGTATAACGAATTATACGATCATCACACAAACACAAGTAGGGGTGAGCTAACATGAAACAAATCATTTGTAAAACATGCATAATTACATTAATACACTTAACAAACATCATATAATAATTATGTCATACACCCTCATACTATCATACAACAATTACACCATAGACACTCATCCCATCATACCATAATCCCTAATAGACACTCATCCCATCGTACCACAATACCCAATAGACACTCATCCGGATGATACGTTGATGAGCGGTCACGGGAGGTTATGCACTTGTGATAACTTCTACTTCTTCTTACAAATACACTTCCAAAATACTCCATACCATCCACAAGGTTAGTCCTCAACACTATGTCCAAAACCGGCACATAGACCAGGACCTCCTGCCCCTCTCACCACATAATTCATCCTTCTCTACTTGAGACTGGATGATTATTAGAGTATCGGGATAACCTCCAACTACAGGACCCTCAACACCAACATATACACAAATACCATATCATTACTGAATCTCTCCACGAGATTCATACCATACTCATATTCCTCAACTCACATTATACCCTTACAAAATCTCCCCATAATACTCATATCATGTTCAGATGCATAAATTCAAATCCAATATAATAAAATACAATCATCACAGAAATCATACAAAATGAATATATCACAAAATAAATTAACAATATTAAAATATCACCATAAATGGTCACTGGAGAAGAATCAAATATTTGACGAATCAAACTCACCATAAACGCCAGTACATATGACTAGTCACAACTTACTAGATTTGACCAGGGCTGCTCTATGATCAGGGATGTACCAACTCCGGTTTTTAAGATTCCTCTATCCTACCATCACAATTATAATTTATAATTCCATATCTACCACAATAACATGAATTCATCAGAAATTTTCATTCCAACAAGATATATTGCACAATAATTTAACAGTACGTAATCTGTTCAACAAGATTTAAGTTAAAAACTTGTCGAGTAGACTTCCAGGAAAGAGAGGTGTGTCACAATGGACAACTTAAGTACCAAGTC